ATGAATTAGGTGAAGCATAATGAAAAATAATATATTTATCAAGAAATCGGGAATTCTAATCAAGAAACGTGTGGAAATTGGAGTGACACTTGTGTTATTTCTTGGAAGAAAAGCCTCAATTTTATGTGGTATAACAATGGCGACAATTCGTAATTCAGACCTCCGTTGTCTCGAATTGTTCACAATTGTGTTGAACAGACAACATCGATGATTAAAAAAAATACACAAAAATGGATAATTTCAGCCAGAAAAACTATTATTGCTCGAGCATAGTAGCGTAAGTATCGTAACTTGTAACAGTTGTACTTAACCGGAAAACAACAGAAACAGAAGACAAGCAATGAGAATAATCAACCCAATGTTTAATTTACCGGGACTGAAGAGGGTTTTATAAAGTTGCTGATTGCTGGGCCAAGCAAAGGAACAGAAAACTCAGTATTTCTGCAGGACATTTGCAATACTAAACATGCAGTGCAATAATTGTATACAGTTTGTACATAAAATAAATAGAAAAAAGAAAAAAAAAACTGGTTTTGTTTAATTTCCCCATATGACAAACAATATGTTAATTTATGCTAATTATTATGCAAATTAGCTGCGACTCTATGAACAATTTCTGGGGAGAACATTGATAGTAGCTCAGTCAGACTACCAAACATAGTAGCTCAGTCAGACTACCAAACATAGTAGCTCAGTCAGACTACCAAACATAGTAGCTCAGTCAGACTACTAAACATAGTAGCTCAGTCAGACTACCAAACATAGTAGCTCAGCCAGACTACCAAACATAAAGAGCCTAGCCAGACTACTAAACATAGTAGCTCAGTCAGACTACCTAACATAGTAGCTCAGCCAGACTACTAAACATAGTAGCTCAGTCAGACTACCTAACATAGTAGCTCAGCCAGACTACTAAACATAGTAGCTCAGTCAGACTACCAAACATAAAGAGCCTAGCCAGACTACTAAACATAGTAGCTCAGTCAGACTACCTAACATAGTAGCTCAGTCAGACTACTAAACATAGTAGCTCAGTCAGACTACCTAACATAGTAGCTCAGTCAGACTACCAAACATAGTCAGTGTTCTCCCCAGGCCAAAACAGCGTCGCGGGCTGAGACGCGATCGGATTTGTCCGCGACGCTGTTTCCTCCGCGATGCTATTATTTATCCCGTGATCTGATTTCTTCAGTCTCTCACAGACTGTAAAGTTTCCTGGCTAACTAGTTAAATCTACAAATGCATGGTATTAACGCCAATTTCCCAGGATAATCCCCTGTTGTTTCTCATTGGTTGGATATCGTTTTAAAAAAACAAAGCAGTTCTATAAAGACAAAGCCGTAAGCCCGGGTGTCAAACGCTCTTTGCCAAACGTATATTCATATGCAAATGATATAGTCACACTTGGGGTCAAAAGCCACATGTTTCCGGTGTGTACGAAACGTATTTTCATTATTATTTTTAGAAATGTAGTCGTACTATTATTCTAAGTTTTGATTTTTTTCAGTATTTTTGATATTGTATTTGTTTTTTGAGATCAAAATGTGAAAAAATATATAGTTATGATGTAAACAATTTTGACCTTGTGATTGTGAATCCAAGATGGCGTCACCCACGTAAATCCAGCAAGCGTGAACTTCCCACTTGGATCGCATATTGTGCTCAGATTCGG